CCCAAAAAAAAAAAAAAAAAAAAAAAAAAAAGACTGATAATATCAATTATGATGGTAAATGAAATTATAAATTCCCTCCTTCGCTGATGAGGGGTGTGTAAATTGTCAAAAACTGTGGAAAAATGTTTGATATTATCCACTAAAGGTGAAAATATATATATACATCCATGCCCTAAAAATTCCATTCCCATGTATAGATACAGCATTTACATAGCATTATTCATAATGGCCCAAAATGTACATTTGGAAATAACTCAAATGTACATGAACAAAATGGATAAATGGATAAACTATGTCAAATCATATACTGAACACTAAATAGCAATGAAAATATACGGAAATTAATTTACATACAATTTGGTCATATTTCACAAATATAATGTTAAGCAAACGGAGTCAGACACAAAAGAATAAGCACTGTATGATTCCGTTTACAAAATTTAAAAATATTCAGGCAAAGAAAGCTAAAGTGTAGTGTTGAGGAATAAATATGTAAATTGTAAAAGTGGAAAGAAAATGTAATACATAGTGCCACAGTGTTCTAGTTCTTGATTCGAGTAGTGTTACACAGATATTTGCTCCACAAAATATCACTGAGTGGTACATTTTTGTTTTGTTCACTTTTCTATATGTGCCATGACTCACAATAAAAAGGTTTTAAAAAAACAAACTGAGTAAGGATTCCTTGTCTTCCATCCCAATGTGGTGGACACTTAATTTTCCCTCAAATAAGCAAATTATTATCTTTATTCCTTGCATTTTTTTCATCCCTATAATCTAGACACACACACACGCGCACACACACACACACACACTTTCCTTACCTCAGTCAGGTTCTGCAAAATCCAGGCCAATCTCAAAGAAACATGCTGGGTTGTGAAAGTGAACAAACTGGCTGCTAAAAATCGTTTACTTCTAGTTAAAAAGTGCAGCACTCGGCAGGAACTGTGTATGAGCTATTTTTTAAAAAAAGATATTTTAGGAAAATGCATTTAATGGTGTTTGATGTTTCTATATTAAATTTCATACACATGCAAACAAACCCAATAGTAAACAATTTATTTAACTACTTATAAAGTGTTCTCAGCACTTAAGGAGATCAAGCAAAGCACCCTAAGAGGACAATTTGCATTCTAAAATATGAAATGTGACACATCTACTATGAACTTCTTTAGCAAACACTAGAGGCTCAAGTACTCATAAAAGTCTTTTTAAAATAACTATTTTCTACCTCTTTACCTATTTTTAACTATGGAAGTAAAGGTAGAGAGTCAAGGGAGAAGGTTATTTTTTTATTAGAAATATATTTTTAATCAAGTTAGTATTAACCCAGAGGGAAGCTCCCCTACACATTAAGTGCTTAAAATTTGGGATAAGAGATTTTATTTAATACTATTTATATTTATCTAATGATTGAAGACGAAACATACAGTTTTCAATGTACTTCTTTGTATGCAAAACCTTTAACTGAAAAAAAAAAAAAAAGCCTTATACAGAAAACTAGCCTTGAATTTTAAGGTTTGTAAGACATACTAAAAAACCCCCAAAAAACCACAACAAAATAAACCCTTATCCTGCTACCTAACTAGAAGGATGCAGATGGACAATTTAACTTCTGAAACTGATGTTTTACAAAACATTCATTTATAGAGAATTTAACCTACTTTATGCATTTTTTCCTATTATTCCCACCCCTCCCCAAAATAAATGGAAAGATTTTGGTTTATTTATTTAAAATAGAAATAAATTTATTTTTCTTTCATTTTTAGCATGATGCATCCATCAAGAAATGTGTAGACTCAGTTCTCTCTACATTTCAGTTTTGTCCTTTTTTTTTTTTTTTAACAATGAGGCTCATTTTAATTTTTTTCACCTTTTTTTCCTTCTGGTGAAAACCTTTATGCTCTACTCCCTTAGCAAATTTCAGTTATACGATACAGTATTATGAACTAGTCACCATATTATGCATAGATCCCCAGACCTTATTCATCGTTATAACTGAAAGTCTGTACCCTCCTTTTCACCCTGTTCAGTACTCAAACCTTCTGCACTTCCTTATATTTTACATTACTTATTAAATGTAAGACTTTTTTAAAGTATTTAAGGTGAACACCCAGAATCCGTCTTCTGATGTGTTATATGTTAAGAAACATTTCGAACTGAAATGAGTTCTTCTTCCATAAGCAACTATACTTTTCTGTATAAAAACTTAGATTTAGGATCCTTCAGGGATCTTCTGTTAAAATGCAGATACTTTGGCAGGGGTACACAAAAAGTACTAAGAGTTCTAATACCTGCACTTTTAGTCAACATATGAACGAGGAACACTTTTGTTCATATATTTAACAAATATTTATTGAGTACCTTCCATGTACCAAGAGGTGCGCTAGGTCCTGAGAAAACAGAGTGAACAAGAGGCAGAATCCCTGCCTTCTTGAAATTTACATTCTAGTGGGAAGAGACAGACAAATACGTAACCAAATCAATATATGAGATAATCTAAGAAGACACTGGTTGTAAGATGAACCACTATTTAACGTACTAGCAAAAAAGAAAAAAATCCTGCTAGTTAAATTATGACATAATTGTAAGATATAATTTATGGTTAAAATGACCAAAAAACCCCTGATGATTAAAAAATGTATCCTAGTTAAAAATCATCCTTTTCAAAATTGGAAAAAAAAAATGTATGTCTTATAACTCATACATTGCTGGTGGGAATGCAAATGGTACAGCCACTTGGGGAAAAAGTATGGCAGTTTCTTATAAAATAAAACATGCAGTTACCCTATAACCTAGCAATCATCCTCTTGGGATGATTTATCTCAGAGAAATGAAAACTTATGTTCACATAAAATTCCATAAACAAATGTTCATAACAGCTTTATTTGTCATAGCCCCAAACTGGAATTAGCACAGATGTCCCTCAACAGGTGGTACATCTGTACCACTGAATACAACTCAGCAATACAGAGGAAACAAGCTATTGATACATGTAACAACCTGCATTCTCCAGATAATCATACTAAGTGAAAAAAGCAAATCAAAAACATGTTTTATGCTGCATGATTCCACATATGTAACATTTTTGAAATGAGAAAAATGTGTAATGGAGGACAGATTAGTGGTTGCAAGGAGCTAGGGATGGGAGAGGGTGGGGAGGTACACAGGAGAGCAGTGGATGTGGTTATGAAAAGCAACATGAGGGAGGGATCCTTGTAGCGATGGAACAGTTCTGCATCTGTTCATCATCCTTGCGGTGACAGATATGTGAACATATGGAAAAAACTGTACAGAAACTAAAACACATACACATACCTACAGATGGAAGTGAGTACAAGTAAAACTGGGGAAATCTGAATAAGATCTATGGATTATATTAATGTCAATATCCTGGTTGTAACATTATGCTATAGTTTTGTAAAATGTTACCACTGGGAGAAACTGCAAAGCCTGTAAGTGATCTCTATTATTTCTTACAACTACATGTGAATCTACAATGACCTCAATTAAAACTTCAATTAAGAAATGTACATCTCAGAGTCTCTGAAATTTGATGAGTGCTGTGAAAGAAATAAAGGACAGTAATAGAGATCGGATTGTGGGGGTGAGGAGTGCTACTATGAATAGGATGGCAGAGAAGGGCTCCCACAGAGGAGGTGATGGTGAGGCTGGGCCCTGAAGGATGAGAAGGATCCAGCCATGGTGGCAGAGAGAGCCCCTTGCAGATACGAGGGCCTTCAGGTAAGAAAGGGCTTGAGGGCTGACAAAGCTGGAGCCTAATCCTTGGCAACTTCAGGGAGAGAGGGGTCTGGGAAGGGGTCAGAGCTGGGGACAGGGTCAAACTCTGGTAAGAAGTTGGGACTTTTATGCTAAAAGCAAAGAGAAGCCTTAGCGACCAACAGGCAAGAATCGGAACAGTGAGAGGAAGCATGGGTTCCTGGCGTGACTGGAGGAAACTGTGGTGCCAGGAGATTGCCACCACGCCCCAATTACTTCACCACTTTGCCTGCGGGTAGCCTTGGCTAAACGCATGACCTTGGTGCCCGCTCTGGCACATCCTCCCTAAACATTTCCAAGAACCTGAGTCAACAGACCATAAGCATCTGGAAAAGGATGATCATAGGGTAGGGTTCCTTCACTGGCAGGACCAGCTCTGCAATTTTGTGTGCTAAACTCCATGAGTCTGTTTATGTGCATTTCTCTGCTAAGAGAGGACAAAACTTATATCATATACCTGTTCAATATCAAGTAGACAAGTGCTTTAAATGCTCAGTTTTGTGCTTCATGTCAGTTTTTCATCACGATTTGAGATCTGGGGCTTACACTACAGAAATAAATGTTTTCACAATTTATTTTAAAAGGAATAAAAGTTTTATTAAACACCTCACTAACTTAAGGAACATCTAATGACTTGACCTATTAAAAACTAAAATTATATATTAAAGTATAACACTGCACATTATAAATAGTATAATTTTAAATTATATCATTCAAAGTTCACAATATTTCCTTAAAACCACTTTCAACTCTCTTACTCCATCTTTCCCATAAACAGCACCTCTCAGTATTCAGCCTCACAAGTTATTAAAGCAAGGTGCATTTTTATATATCAAACTAACAAAAAAAATCATTGTGGGTGAGCCTATGGCAGATTTGTTTCACTCATGCATTGCTGTCATATTCTATAATGTATTCAAGTTTGTTTTCATATAAAATTAATGTCTCCGAACACTTATCAAGGAAAACTGATGCTGCAGACACTCCCCATGCACCACCTGGCAGGGGCAGCCTAACTGAGAAGGCATTTAACTGTACGGCATTAGAAGCATTAAAACAATCAATATGCAATATTGATTGTAAGACCAAATATTGCAGGTTTCAACATATTTGAGGAGCTGGAAAATTGTCTCGCTCTTTAACTCGGTAGTCTCACACTTCGGAGTGAGATGCTACTACGGCTGTCACTGAAGTCATCAGCAGCATCATTTGCCAGGCATCATGGTGAAAGCTTGTGGCAGTCAGCTAGTTATCTATCTCAACATCCATTAACCATTTTTATAGCAAAAGATGATAAAACCTGGACATAGTCTGTATCTTTTCTGGACATAGTCCGTATTTTTTCGATTTCTCCAGGAATGGAAATGAATTCTCACTAACTTGTGAACCTCTGGTCCACCCCAAACCTCCTCAGCAGTTCCTGATGTGCAGCTGTTAAGGACTTCGGTCCACCAGCACGCTCTTGGGTGACTACTATTAAATTTCACTGGGGTGGGGAGTGTGCATGTGTGTATTCTCTGCTTAATGTCCTAAGACATCATCAGTAGATGATACAATTCTGCCTACGGCTAAAGGACATTTACAGGAAAAAACAGTAACATCCAAATCACTGAACATAAGAAAAAGATTACCTTCATTAAAAGAGAACTATTCCAAGATTTTACAAGTTCAATAGCTCTTAGGTCTTGCCAACTAATGAAGTTGTGGAAATGCTTTCCCGTTTTCCTAAGAAAAATGGAAACAGTATTTTGAGACTCAATATAAATTAGGGACTATATTATATAAAAGATATGTCACAAGAGAAAACAAAATTAGAAGCCAAACTGTAATTTCAACATATGATTTAATTAATTGGGGCTTTCTGAATGCCTTCTTCTCTTTGATTTGATAAATTGAACACACTTTGTAACAATTATATGATGTACAGTAAAACATTTTAGATCAGATTCTATCCAAAATATATTTTTTGAAGCATTACAATGTATACACTTCCAAAAACAAAACTGATGAAAAGCCTTCAAAGACTTGCTTATACAATTTTAAAAGCAAGATAAGGAAGCCAATACTTTCTCTTTTCATTGTACTTATCTTAATATACACAATCAGATAAAAAACTTCTGGACCTGCAGAACAGCTAAAATGTAGCCTGAGCCTGTTTTTTTTTCTTTATTAGTTTATTTATTTTTGGCTGCGTTGGGTCTTTGTTGCTGCACATAGGCTTTCTCTAGTTGCAGCAAGCGGGGGCTATTCTTCGTTGTGCTGCACAGGCTTCTCATTGTGATGGCTTCTCTTTTTGCAGAGCATGGGCTCCAGGTGCGTGGGCTTCAGTAGTTGTGGCATGCGGGCTTCAGTAGTTGTGGCATGTGGGCTCAGTAGTTGTGGCTCGCGGGGTCTAGAGCACAGGCTCAGTAGTTGTGGCGCATGGGCTTAGTTGCTCCGTGGCATGTGGGATCTTCCCGGACCAGGGCTCAAAGCTGTGTCCCCTGCATTGGCAGGCTGATTTTTAACCACTGCACCACCAGGGAAACACCTGAGCCTGTTTTATACCTCTCAACTTTAGGACTGGTTGAGCCCCTGACTGGCAACCTACCCAGGCTTCCCAAAATTTGTCCAAGAGAAAGAAATTCAACAAACTCTGGGTTGATACTACAATAAAAGCACAGCACTAAGAAATAGAGTAGAAATAAACCCTTTTTCCTTTGAGGCTCCTACACATCAACCACTGCCATCCACTCAGCTTCAACATCTAGCCCAGGCTGGCCTTCTGTGCTCCCTCCAGGCCTCCTCCTATATGACTGTGACCACGTTCAATTCCCAAGACTGTCATTTCCCACTCTTTTTAAGCAGTCCTCACCCATGGTCACATCCTCAACTCTATCACCTAGAAACATTCTACCACGAAATTCTATCACTTTGCTATACACCTGAAACACACAAAACAACAGGTTAATGATAGGGAAATGCCCACAGTATAATATTAAAGGGAAAAAAATCAGGATAAAAACTTTACATATATTGCAATCCCAATTTGCTAAAAAATAAATAAATAAGGCAAATTAACCAAAAAGAAAAAGAAAAAGAAATCCTAACATTCTAATATATCAGTCAATACTTCTTGCTATTATTTCAATTCTCCCAATCTTACTCCCTAAATACCTTCCCTTCAGACTTACTGCATCCTTTAATCCCTCAAACCTTCCCTTTCCTTCTTACCAAGCCCTCCTAGGCTTACTTTCCTACTAGGCTTACTTATATGGTCTATTACTTTAATAACTTGCCTTCATACACTCTCTATCCCTTGACTCTCTATTTTTTAAATTGTGGTAAAATATACATAACATAAAATTTACCATTTCAACCATTTTTAAGTGCACAGTACAGTGGCATTAATGTTGTGTAACCATCAGCACTATTTCCAAACACTTGGGCTGTTTCCACCTTCTTACTACTGTAAATAATGCTGCTATAAACACTGCTGTACAAATATCTGAGTCCCTGTTTTCAATTCCTTTGGGTATATACCTAGGATTAGAATTGCTGGGTCATATGATAATTCTGTGTTTAGTTTCTTATTTATTCATTTATTTTTGGCTGCATTGGGTCTTCATTGCTGCATGTGGGCTTTCTCTAGTTGTGGAGAGCGGGGGCTACTCTTTGCTGTGGTGCGAGGGTTTCTCATTGTGCTGGCTTCTCTTGTTGTGGAGCACGGGCTCTAGGCTCATGGGCTTCAGTAGTTGCAGCACGTGGGCTCAGCAGTTGTGGCGCATGGGCTTAGTTGCTCTGCGGCATGTAGGATCTTCCCGGACCAGGGTTCAAACCTGTGTCCCCTGCATTGGCAGGCGGACTCTCAACCATTGCGCCACCAGGGAAGTCCCCTATGTTTAGTTTCTGAGGAACTGCCAAACCATTTTCCACAGCGGCTGCACCATTTGACATTCCAGCAACCAGTATATAAGAGTTCCAATTTTTCCATATCCTCACCAACACTTGTTTACATTTTAAAAATTATAGCCATCCTGGGAGATGTGAAGTGGTATCTCATTGTGGTTTTGATTTGCATTTCCCCAATGACTAATGATATTGAGCATCTTTTCATATGCTAGTTGACCATTTGAATACTATTTAAACCCTTTGTCCATTTATGAATTAGGTTTAGGCTTTGCTGTTGTTGCTGAGCTGTCAGTTATTTATATTCTCTGGATATTAATTCTTTATCAAACATATGATTTGCAAATATTTTCTTCCATTTTATGAGTTTTCACTTACTTTAAAGTGTCCTTTTTTTTTTTTCTTTCTGTTTTTCACCTTTATTAATGGGATCACAGCATTCACATATATCATGAACATGGTACATCTTTTTCCTTTAGTGATCCAAACGATCACGATTATCGTTACTACAAATCAGAGAAGTGATTCTCCTATTGTTATTTTTTAATAAATTTATCTATTTATTTATTTTAATTTAATTATTTTTGGTTGCGTTGGGTCTTCGTTGCTGCACGCGGGCTTTCTCTAGTTGCAACAAGCGGGGTCTACTATTCGTTGTGGTGCGCAGGCTTCTCACTGTGGTGGCTTCTCTTGTTGAGCACGGGCTTTAGGCACGTGGGCTCAGTAGTTGTGGCTTGCGGGCTCCAGAGCACAGGATCAGCAGTTGTGGCACACTGGCTTAGCTGCTCCGCAGCATGTGGGATCTTCCCAAACTGGGTCTCGAACCTGTGTCCCCTGCACTGGTAGGTGGATTCTTAACCACTGTGCCACAGGGAAGTTCCTCTCCTGTTGTTTTAGTCCTCCATCTTAAATTACAAACCAAACATGCCAAGACACATACTTTCCATATTACATGCTTCAGTCAGTTTTCAGATATCTAACTGTAGATTTAAGATATCAATGGCTATAAATTTTTTCAGACTTTTTTTTTTTTGCAGTACGCGGGCCTCTCACTGTTGTGGCCTCTCCCGTTGTGGAGCACAGGCTCCAGACGCACAGGCTCAGCGGCCATGGCTCACGGGCCCAGCCGCCCTGCGGCATGCGGGATCCTCCCGGACCGGGGCACAAACCCGTGTCCCCTGCATCGGCAGGCAGACTCTCTACCACTGCGCCATCAGGGAAGCCCTCAGACATTTTTAAAATGCAAATTATACGTTATGTCAAAATAATTTCAGCATGACTTTATTTCTTATTATTCTGTATTAAATTTAGGGCTCTTCTCAGTTTCTACTTTGGACAGTTCCAATAGCTAAGAAAACTAAAGAAAAATTACTCATCCTAAGTAGAAGAAAATATCTTGATAGTATTCTTGAATGCACAAAAGTTTTTAATTTTGATAAAATTCAACTTACCTATTTTTTTCATTTGTTAGCTGCACTTTTTCTTTTTTTAAAAAAATCTTATTTTGGCCATGCGGCATGCGGAATCTTAGTTCCCCAACCAGGGATTGAACCCGCGCCCCCTTCTTTGGAAGCACAAAATCCCAACCACTGGACTGCCAGGGAAGTCCCTGTTAGCTGTACTTTTGATATCATTTAAGAAATCATTGCTGGGGCTTCCCTGGTGGCGCAGTGGTTGGGAATCTGTCTGCCAATGTGGGAGACGCAGGTTTGAGCCCTGGTCTGGGAGGATGCCACATGCTGCTGAGCAGCTGGCCCCATGAACCACAACTACTGAGCCTGCGCTCTGGAGCCCACAAGCCACAACTACTGAGCCTGCACTCTTCGAGCCTGTGAACCACAACTACTGAAGCCTGTGCTCCTAGAGCCCGTGCTCCACAACGAGAAGCCACGGCAATGAGACTGCAACGAAGCGTAGCCGCCACTCGCTGTAACTAGAGAAAGCCCACGGGGCAGCAATGAAGACCTGACGCAGCCAAAAATAAAATAAACTAATAAGTTTTTTAAAAAAGTCATTGCTAAATCCACAGTAATGAAGATTTCCTCTGTTTTCTTCTAAGAGTTTTATAGTTTTCTGTTTTAAAGTCAGTGTTTGATCCATTGTTTTAAGTTAATTTTTGTATGTGGTTTATGGTAAGAGTCCAACTTCTTCCTTTTGCAAGCGGATGTCCAGTTTTGTCAGCATTATTTGTTGAAGAGACTGTTCTTTCCCCAATGAATTGTCTTGGTGTCTTTGTTGAAAACCAACTGACCATAAAGGTAAGGATGTACTTCTGGCTTACACAGGGCCTCAAGGTGAGCCAGTTTCCCTATTGTCTGGTCATGGCTCCCTGGTATAAAACCAAGTGACCACCGTATTAGTTTCCTTGGATTGCCATAACAAAGGTCACAAGTTGGGTGACTAAAACAATAGCAATGTATTGTCTCACGGTTCTGGAGGCTGGAAGTCCAAAATCATGGACTTAGCAGGGCTGTCCTCCCTCTGAAACCTGCAAGGGGATCCTCCCTTGCCTGGGAGGATCTGGTAGTCTGCAGCAATCTTTCCTCCTCCACACGGTGTTCTCCCTGTGTCTGTCTTCACATGGCAGTCTTCATATGAGGAAACCAATCATATTTGATGAGGAGGCCACCTCATCCTGCATTATGATCTCATCCTAATTTAAATAATTACATCTGCAATGACCCTATTTCCAAAGGTTACGTTTTGAGGCACTGCTGTTGAGTTATTTCCCCCAAATCTCCTTCGCTCCTAAGTGTGAGATTACTAAGTCAAAGAGTAAGACAATTTTCCAGCTCCTCAAATGTGATGAAACCTGCAATATTTGCTCTTATAATCAATACTGCATATTGACTGTTTTAACACTTTTACTGCCACACAGTTAAATGCCTTCTCAGCTAGGCTGCCCCTTCCAGATGGTGCATGGGCAGTGTTTAGAACAACAGTTTTCCTTAATAAGTATTTGGAGACATTAATTTTAGATGCAAGCAAACATGAATATATTATAGAATATGAGAGTAATGCATGAGTGAAACAAATCTGCCATAATCTCACACACATTGATTTTTCTTTTTGTTAGATTAAGGTATAAAAATGCACCTTGCTTTAATAACTTGTGAGGCTGAATACTGGGAGGTGCTGTTTACAGGAAAGACAGAGTAATTAACGGAGTTGAAAAGGTTTTAAGGAAAGGCATGAATTCTGAACTGTATGGTTTTATACAGTTTTTGGTTTTGTTTTTTGTTTTTGTTTGTTTGTTTTTTTCTGTACATGGGCCTCTCACTGCTGTGGCCTCTCCCGTTGCGGAGCACAGGCTCCGGACACGCAGGCTCAGCGGCCATGGCTCACGGGCCCAGCCGCTCCGCGGCATGTGGGATCCTCCCAGACCGGGACACGAACCCGTGTCCCCTGCATCGGCAGGTGGACTCTCAACCACTGCGCCACCAGGGAAGCCCTATACAGTTTTTATAATGTGTAATATTATACCTTAATGTTTAATTTCAGTTTTTAACAGATAAATTCAAACATTCCTTAAGTTGAATAATTACTTAACTCAGGTAAGTGAGATTTTTTAAAGTTTTATTCCTTTGAAAATAAGTGTAATAACTCTAGAAATCTGGTTTCCCACTCCTCAGGGATTGCCATTTCTTCCTGGCTGAGGGCTGGAGCTGTCAATTTGTGACTTTTCCAAACTACTTTGGCAAAGTATGTATTCCTCGTTGGTGTGAGGTCGCTGAAGTTTCTGAAACGTCTGTTATGTTTTCTCTGTGATCGGCTAGTGATCTGACAAACATTTTCTAAAATGTGTGGTCTTGCAAACCCCCAAAAGATACTGGCCCTTTAAATCTTCCAACAGACGCTGCCAAAGGAAGCAACTGCAGCTGAGAGGGCCAGAACCTAGGTAAGCATCTGTGCCAATTCTGCAGGGCATTGCAAAATCTACCAAAGTACATAGGCCCACATTTTTGTAGGACAAAGTTCTCAGCCCTCATTCCTGGAATGTGGGCCGCTTTCCCCACATGTGCAGTAGGGCTGAAGAATGGAGGCTGGTGGCTGGTTTGCACATGTCCTCTCTTACCCAAGGATAGCAGCCTCTACCTTTATCCAGCAGTCCCCTAGCTGTTATAAGGTCGGATCAGGTTCCAGAGTTCTGAAAGAGCTTATTCCAATCTCTCCAAATCAACAGTTGCTTTGGTGGAGGGACCAACCCCTATAGCTTCCCACTCCACTATTTTGGTGATGTCACTCTCTACTCCTTGACTTACAAGTTAACTATGTACCTTTTCAATACCTAATCTGGGATTAATCTAACTTTCTTCTGGGTTCACTTTCAATGTCAGAACCATTGAGAGGAGTTGGAGGAAAGTCCCATAGCCTTGTGAATTGGTACCATACCTATGAGATACAAGCTCATTTGCTCTCTCAAAGTCACTTAAAATGATGAAAGTCTCTCCCTTGTCCCTAATTAGTTTCCTCTCCATTCCCCACCAATGGCACATCTAACTTTTCACTAGATTTCTCAAGCCCTAGGCCATCACTTGCCTCCTGTTTCTCAAGGGAAGTAAAGGACACAGGGAATGACTTTCCTCAACTCTCTACTCCTCCAGCTACACCTACAGCGATGGTGCATCTCACTCTTGGGTCAGAGGAGAAGCTTTCCCTCTCCAAGTCTAAGCCTGGCACCTCCACCTGTACTCTCTTTATCCATGCCTTCCTGTCTCTTCTATCACTTCATTTCGCAAACATTCCTGCAACTGTCTTCTCTAAACTTGCTTAAATCTCCCCATCTTTGACCCACAATACCTCCCCACCCAACTAAGCCCTTTAGAGTTTCCATATCACTTCCTACTGTCTCAACTACATACAATTCAAATGCAATTTAGATTCCCAATCATTCATGAAAATTACATTCACTACGTTCATCAATGTAGTTATTTATTTATTTAGTATTGCTTTCTTTTTTTTTTTTTTTTTTTTTT